CCTGTCAGAGTTGATAGACTAGGCGATAGAGTTTGGGAGACTTGATAGGCGAGGACAAAAGGCGTGAACACAGGCGAGAGAAAAGCACCACTTGATAGCCACCACTTTTCACAAGCCGAAAAATGGGCACGCCTTTGTGGGCACCAGGGCTCACAAACGTCGATGATGAATATGTAGGCGTGAAAGGTATAAGTAGGAGAAAAGGCGTAGGTCGGAGGAGGGAAATGTAGAAGGAAATGCACAAGCCAAAGATTTTTTAGACTTGGTAGGCGTAGACGGGAAGACGTAGACGGGAAGCTGTAGTTAGACAGGAAATTTTTTTTGTGTGAGGCGAAGATGACTTAGACTTGCTAGGCGTAGATGGTAAGGCGGAGTAATAGAGGAAAGAAAGATGGAATGTTGGTGGTAGGCGTAGACGGTAAGGCGTAGTAAAAAAGATAAGGGAGGCGAAGTGGGGAGAAGTAAGAAAAATAAGACTTTGTAGGCGTGAAGAGATAAAGCAAAGAGAGAAGAAATTTTTGGGGGGGGGGTGTAGGCGACGATAGGCGCTGACAAAGAGAAGAAAAGAGTAGAAAAAAGAAATCTGGGGATGTAGGCGACGATAGGCGCTGACGAAGAGAAGAAAAAAAAGTGAGATCGGATAGGCGGGAAGGCGTAGAGTAGAGTTGTGAATAATAATAATCAAAAATGTATTGATGGGCGTTTGAGATCACGTAGTGATGGCGGAGAGGGGAATGATGGAGAGGCGTGATCGTAGGTCGGCAAAGGCGGGTGCCGGAAGAGGTTTGGTGAAAAAGTCTGCAAGTTGGTTGCCAGAGCTGCACCACTTGAGCTGGAATTCGCCGGAGTCCACGAGGTCACGCACACACATGTAGCGGACGTCGATGTGTTTTGAACGGCTGTGAAGTTCGGCGTTGGTAGCGATCTTGATGGTGGACTGATTGTCTTCATGGACTAGGACGGGTTGGTCGGACGTTTGTTGGTTCAGAGGCGAGTTGACGTAAACAGAGAACTTCTTGAATGCATAAGGCGAGGACAACAAACTCAGCTTCCGTGGTGGACAAGGTGACGAGGGTTTACTTCTTGGCAAGCCACGACACGGGTGAGCCGAAAAGAGGGTGAAAAATCCACTGATACAACGTCGAGTGTCAACACACATAGCATAGTTTGCATCGACGTAGGCGGATAGAAAAGAAATGTCGTCGATGGAGGCGATGCCACCAAGGCGGATGCCATAGGTGCGGATGCCTTTGAGATAATGGAGAGCACATTGGACTGCAGACCAATGAGTAGGGCCAGGGTTGTGGAGAAACTGACTGAGTTGTTGTAGAGTGTAGGCGAGATCGGGGCGAGTGCCCATAGCTAAGTACATGAAGCTGCCGACGACGGAGCGGTAGTTCTTGCCGATCATAAAGGCGAAGTCGTGAGGCGTCGTCGCACAATGAGAGGCGGATAGAGTTAGTTAGACTGGGGCTGAAAGGCGTAGACACTGGATTGTAGTTCACCATGTCGAAACGGTCCAGGATAGATAGCTTCAGCGTAGCGAGATTGGTGTAGAAAGGTGGTCTTGGCTGCTCGGTTGCGTTTGACTTGCCATCCCAAAATGTCGGAGACTTCGCCAAGGTCTTTCATGCGCAACCTTTCGAGGGAAACCTTCAAGGCGAGGACGAGAGATAGAGTAGGCGCAAGAATAAGTAGGTCATCCACGTAGAGACTGACAATAGTAAAGCCGGAGGCGTCGGACTTGATGAAGACGCAACGGTCGTTGTGTAGGCGGGTGTACTTTTGGGATGTCATGTAGTCGACGAAGGTCCAGTACCATAGGCTAGGCGCTTGTTTGAGGCCGTAAAGGCTGCGTTTTAGGCGGCAAACTAGTTCGCTTGCGGGAGACATCAGTAACGAGACCGCCAGGCGGCTGCTCCATGAAGACGACTCGGTCCATGGTCCCGTTGAGAAAGGCGGTCTTCACGTCCATTTGATGACACTTGAGGTCGTAGATGGCCACCATAATGAAAAGAAAACGGAGGACGTTTAAGCGTACGACAGGCGCAATGATGTCATCGTAGTCAACGCCTTCGCGTTGCAGAAACCTTTGATAACTAGGCGTGCTTTGTACGTGCCGTTGGGCTTGATGCGGAAAACC